TATTTTTGTAAAGTTGGGATGAGTCACAAGGTCTGCATCTGGAATAGGGGCTCAGGACTTATGTTCTGGTCTAGACAATTAAAAACATCGGCCCAAACTGAGCAGCTCTCAAGACTTTCTTGAAATTGTCTCCTTATAAGATGTTTTTAAGCTGGCACCCTGKGAGAAAAGCACGGCCGAGCTGCCGCTGAGGTTTCCAGCTCTCTGCAAGGCTCTGAAACCTGCATGTTGTTTTTCAGCTTCTGCCTGTGTTTAGATAATTGATAAAATTTACTGCAACAGTAAAAACTGAATTAACAACTCTGACCTTTCTACTGCTTCTTCCCTCTTTCTCAATTGAAATGTGACGCCTGCCTCTGCCCTTCTCACACAATTCCCACTCCGTCTTCGGGCAAAGCTGAAGCTGCCTATGTGCACTGGGGTATGTGTGAAATGTTAACAGCCCAGCTGCACATCTTCTTCCACATAAAACTTAGCGGAGGTGGCCATAAAGACTACAGACTTTTGGGCTAGGTCCAGGACTGAGCTGCACTTAGGACAGTGTTATCAGGACTAACGGAAAGTCTCGAGTCCAGGAAAAGCCATATCGAGTTCAAAGACAGTATGGAATGATAGTTAGGTTTTCTGTTGAATTGCAGGACATCCCACTGCTGAAGGAAGTGCTGTGTGAGAGGAATGTGGGAAAACAAACTGCATCTGCTTGCTCAAAGGCCACAAGTGCCTGCTCTGCCTCTGTACATTAATACTGGGAGGGAGAAGTATGAAAACATAATGGAAAAGCAATGAAATATGACTAAAGTCTTGTAATGATGAAATATAATAATTCCTAATGGAGAAGAGGCACAAACAAGAAAACCCGAAACACTTTATACGAAACAAAAATAAGAGAGAAGAGAAGGAAGGGGGAGTGTGAGGGAGAAGAGAAAAGAAGCAGTTGCTGGAAATGACTTTTAACTTTTCCACTTAGCGTTTTAAACCCAAAAAGCAATTACTGTCAAGCTTGCATTGGCTTTCTGCACATTAATTCCCTATTATTAAAAAAATTAATGAGTTTAACAAACTCCTTGTCCTCGTAAAGTTGTCCTCTTTATTACTGGTGTTAGTAATCCACCAGGGACCCTGCCTCTAAAGCTCAGCAATATGCCCTGATTTTTTGAAGTTCAGAAAAAAAAGAAAGAAAAGATAAAGTGAGGAAGAAGAGTTCAAGAAAAGGAAAATTAGAAAATGATAATGGGACTCTGAGTCTTTTCCCTCTGGATTAGTCCTAGGCTGACAGGCTGGAGAGTGAATGTCATTCTCCAAGTGATGTCTTCAATGGTCTATACAGTAAAAGGGCAGGATGATCCGTTGGGGAGGATATCTGTACTTTTCCCGCAGGCTCCATGCCCTGCCGCTTATGGGCCTGCCCATATTTTCTGTCCTCAGCACATAAGGGTTTATTCCTGGGAAGCCAACACACAGAGGCCAGAGCCCTCACGGATCAGAGCACAGAAACCCCCTTTGCTCCCTGACACGGAGTTCAAAGCTCTCCCGGCACAAGGTCCCTCTACACCACAAAGCATTTGGGGCGTAAAACCAGTTTACTGGGCACTGGCAGGTTTAAGTCAGCTRCTTCGTCCTTTCCGCTCATTAGAATTTAAAACCTACAATAAAAAGGCCGAAAGGGGAACTGCTAAGCCTTAATAAAAATAATCTTTCAATCTGTTTGAGATTTCAGTTGATACAACCTACTGCACAACACCTAATGTTTGCACTGCACTTTCCGCTCAGATTTAGGGACCCTCTAGCTCCCAGAGTCGAATAGGTCACTGCTATGAAGAAGATGAAAATGATGAAGAAGATGAAAATAACTCATGCAAAAGGTTGCAGTCAATAAGCACCACTCAGAAGGCCAGGCATATGACTCAGAAATGAAGAGCTAATGGTAAAGAACAAGACCGAGATGTCAAGATCTATTTTAATTTTGGCTCAGGAAGCTATGTGAGATAAGCCAGGGCGCAATATGAGCATCAGAACAAAAGAAAGCAAGGAGGAGAGCGCATCAAATTTTGATATTTTAAGTGACCAGGAATAATGCACTGCTACATCCAGGCAAATATATCCAGRATAAAAGGAGTCACATGGTAGCTGCTGCAGAGGGTGACTTATGCCAGTGGTTACAGCGCTCCGTTGTATTGTCCTCATTTATAGTCTCTCTCTACAAGTAACTAAGAGGCAGCAAGTAGTATTGATCCAACTGCACCAGGTACCAAACAATCCTTTGAAGTTTTGGCAGCATGGGAAGGGAAATGTAAGTGTGTTGTGGAGGGTAGTGCCACAAGCAAAGCCTGCAGGAAGAGGAACAAGGAAGCTTTTCAAACATGGTTTGAAATTCCCTTGTTTGTCTTCCTTGCATTCATTTCAAAACCTCTGATGATGATAAATATATAAGATACTCCTGTGCTCATCAGACATCAGCTCTGGAGCAGGATGCTATAGCTTTCTGTAATGTCTGCAMGTTTCACTGGCTACATTTCAAGTCTGCTTTAGACAACTCATTTCTCCATAACTTTCTAACTCTAAAATTTGTTAGTCCTGATCCACTTCTAACCTGTTGCTTCTTTATACTTAAGGGGCTGAGATTTTGTCTAACTATAAATTTACTGCAATTGAAAAATCCTATTACTCCCTCAGCATGGTGTTGTATAAATATAAGGCAGGACCTTTAATTTTCTAGGCAAGGATATGATTTCAGTTCCTTTCATSGTCTAATTATTACTTGGCAAATATCATGTTGTGGTGAGTATTTAAGGATAATTCTCAGATAATACTTAATTATACGGTTAATTTTTACAATGAYGGGAAAGCCTCAAAGATTCAGAGTCCAGATTTTTTAGACTATCCCAAAAAACCCAGCTATTTCCCTGCACTTGTTAAATGGGCTAGAATTTATGAATTTTTTAGTATCTGTAGTACATAAAACAGCTTTTGCTATAGTATCTCTGACATTAATCTCAGCTGCTCACTGGAATTTGGATTTACAGGTAGCTACAGATTGCTTTGAACTTTTAAAGTGACCTTACATAGCCCTATACCTGATTAACTCACCAGATAGCCTGAATTTGCAGGTGATTTATATGACTAAACTGGCAGAGCTTTCAGAGAATACTATCTTAAGGAAAAATGTTTGCAATAAATGGAGGAAAAGAAGGTTTGATTCAAGTGAAATGTCTAATTTTCTAAAKGTCTAATTTTCTACAGTGGGACAGACAGCTCATGGAGAAGAGAAAGGAGAGCAGGGGCAAATTTAGTACTGTATTCCTCAACCTTTATGAATTGATAAATGTTCCTAGCAGCAAGAGCTTCCCTGGAACGCTGTGATGTGCAGCATGCTGAACTGCTGCACAAAGCACAGGTCCCATCAGATACACAGGCTGCATTTGCTGTGCAGTGGCGCAGAGCTAAGCTCAGCCCCGACCTTCATAGTTCACCAAGTTAGTTCATTAAACCACTTGTGACACCTTGGGCAGCCCCAAATGAAGTTTAGTCTTATCAGGTAACAAACAAGCTCTTGGCCTCCTAGACTTGGATCTATGAGTCAATACGTCTCCCAGCTGAGATTGTAGACATAATGATTAATTCACTGCTGGCTGCCTGGGTAAGCGGCTACATAAATACAGAAGGAATGGTGCCTAGGCAAGCTGGGACTGCAGCCTGGGAGGACGTATAAACACGGAGATATATGGAGAGAGACACACAGACAAAGGACCAGAAGGACTGTTTGAATGGATCACAGCAAAATTTCTCCTGGATCACCATCTTGTCAAAGACCAGCAGCTGGTGTCTAGGGAAGACCAGAAATTGTTCAGAGTGATCCTGTTCCTCTCCTCACATTCTGTGAGTTTAACTGGCGTGAGTCAATTGGTGGTTTAAGCAGGACAGCATTTAGGCCATTGCCTTTAACTGCCTTCTGTGACCCAYCTCATGGGGACAAGGAAGGTTCAAGCTTTGCAGCCTGTCTACATCACCTCCTGGCATTGCCTCGTGTAAGTGTCAGGGATGCCATGGTTGAGCCGGGGGGTTAAGGGGAAGGTGGGAGTGTTTGAGGCACTCACTTGTGGAGCGGTTGCAACAGGCTCTTTGCAGCTGAAAAGCCCGGGTTCCACTGTCAGCACCACTTTCAGTTCAAACAACTCACTTCATATCTCTTAGCCTTGATTTACTCCTGTACAATGAGCTTARCAGACTATTTCATGAGGTAGTCTCAATTAATTAGCATTTGTAAAAGTGCTCTGAGATTCCCAGATGAAAGGCTGGCCGGGAATGGCAAATTGCTAATGATAATTAATAGTTATTCATGATCACTTTACAGAATTCCAAATTATTTTCTGAGGGGAAGAAAGCAGGGATAGAGACTCTCAAGATAGAGATCACTAAAAAACCCCACGACAGTTATGCCTCCCTCCCCGCCTCCTTCCTCAGCATTAATAGGAAGAGCTGACACCTCTTATGAGCAGAGGAGCTGCAATGTAATAAAGGGTGGAAAAGGCCTCAGGTGCTCCTCSATGCACAACACGTTCCTCCTCTGGCATGCACCGTAGCTGGGGAAGCGCAGGAAGCGGGAGCGAGACAGCAGGACTGGGTGAACAGGGGGGTTACATTTCTCTCTCAAAGTGCTGCAAAGGCAGTCCTAATTAAACAGATGTTCTTAATAATACTCTGACAACTGTCCCTGCTTTAATTTGCTTTGGAGTAAAGATTAATATAACAATACAACAACACTTTACAAGGGGAGAAAAGGGAGCAGAGCTAATAAAAGGCAGTAGCTTACATGGTTTATTATTGCCTTTCTTTCTGTTTGCCTAGCGAATATTTACCTCCTCTGGGAGCAGTTTTCATATTTATTTGATCACTCCTCCAAGCTAGGGCTGACTTTGTGGTACCTTGCAGGAGGATTAACGCCAGGGCCACGAGGTGTGCTGGGCACACAGACACATGGGGGTCTCCATGGTGATTCTCCAGCGGCAGGGAAGAAATCCAGCGGCTTTGAAGCGAGTGGTGCTGCGAAACACGAAGCGTGGCCAGCGGAGAAGGATTCCAGGCGCGGGTACAGAGCAGGAAGGCACCAGCCCAACGGCGAGGCAAGAGAGATGGAGGCATCTGTGGCAATGGGAAGAAGGAAGGGAGGAACAGATTCAGTCTCTGCATGGGATATGGTGACCATTCAATCATTCTTTAAATATTTTATAGCTCTACGTTATGCAATCTGAAGCTGTTTATGATAAGGAGGTCCTTCGACAAGAAAGCTAAAGAAAAGAGCTGGAGCTGGCAGCTAAGTGTATTGCCCTTTGCTGGAACGAATGCAGCTTGTTTACCTTCTGTTTTTTACAGCTTTCTGAAATGTCAGATGCCACAAAGACTCTCCTGGCAAAAGCACACTGTAAAATTCCCCCCATCATCTTCCACCTGTACCTGGGAGCCTTGGTTCCTCTCCTCACTTTTCACTCTTAAGCGCTATCCAGTGACAGACCTTTGAATGTTGTCTCAAGCCAAATTGCTTTCATTCTGGGGACTGCAATTCCCTTCAATGAACTCAGTATTAGGAGTAGCACATCATCAGGGCTGCAGCTTTCTCTAGGATTTTACCGTTAATGGAGCTGGCAGCAGACCAAACAAGCACGTGGATGACAGGAGCACGCGCAGCCCTTCAGTCCTTTGCAGCTAACAGGTTCCCCTGGTCTCTGCTCTCGAGCAGGGACCAAGTTTTGCCTGTCTGCTGGAATTACTGTGGCGAAATTGATGGATGCTCCAGGCTCGGACTGACCCGGTCTTGTCCTTAGCAATTATCCTGCATTGCTCTTGGCTGCCTTTTCATCCAAGAACTATTCCTGGATCATTTGCAGACCCTGAAAGAATTTTGCTGGCTAAATTGTTGCTCGGACTAATCCAGCCCCCTGAAATGACCATCATTACCAGGATGAGTCTTCGAGAACTCTTGATTTTGGGACAGAAGGCATACAGTGGCAGGCCCCTCTGCTTTGAAGTTGGAAAATGCCAATTACTCATTCTTCAGGCAAAGAGAGTGACTTTGGACTTAAGGCAATACCCACTGGCCCAAATTTAAAGCATTCTTTGGTTCTTCCCCTGCCAGAAAGAATGTATAAGCCAAAGACTCTTAGCAGTCAAAAAGATAAAAGGGCAAGATGGAGGCATAAAGCATAAATGCAATATAGTCCCAAGCAACTGACAAACTGAACACAATTTGGGTGAGCTGAAGGCAAAACATGGCCAAGTATAAAGGTTTTGGAAAAGGTATTTTTAGGCAGCACCATCTATACGAACTACGAGTAGGTAAATCCTCTCCCTCTGCAACTCCATTCCTATCAAGCCCTTCTTTCAAAGAGCTCTTCAAACACAGTTTTATCTCTCACAGACCACAATGCAGGTAAGCATACTGCCCTGATGCAGACCTGCTTATAGCCAGGCGACGAGGCAGGGAAAGCTGAGAATAGATGGTGAGACTTTATGCCTAATTTGCTTTCTAAGATTGCAAAAATGAATATTAGTATGATAAGGGGTGCTGAAAAGGGGACAGAGACAGGGAGACAGCTGAGTGGCATGTGTGCTTTGGGGATTGTGCAACTGGAAGGCCAGGTGCCACTGGGTGACTGTGGAAGAGGTGCAATCGCTAAGCAGCAGGCAAAGGAGATCAGGTTGGGACAAGACAGCTGTAAAACATAGGATCATGCAAAGGCCAGAGATCTGAGTGACAAGAGGACTGAAACCACTGTAGTTGAAACCCAAATAAACCCAAGCCATGCAAGCACCAAGGCTTTGCAGCTGAGCTTGGGTGAGAGATACGTGCAGCAGTCATGTGAGCACTGCTTGCATTATACTTCAGCCAGAGAGTAAACTTCCAGACAAGTCATTTGTTTGCTAAAAAGGCTGAATCTTTATTTCCTCTGAGCTATAGCGCTGGCCTGAAGTTCCCAAGGTCTAAGCAAAGCCATCAGTCACAGTCAACTGGGCCTGGACTGCAGGAAAGTGGCGTTCTGTATCTTTTAGAGACGAGCAGGTATAGGGAGGGATTGCTGAGCTGGTGGAAAGGCAATTGCTCTAAATAAATGCATAATGGAAAGATGCAAACTGGCCTTTATTTCACTTTCAAGGAGAGGACAAACCAGCTATTTAATGCCCTAGGACAGAACCTCCTTCTTCACTGTCTATAGATGCAAGAGCCAAGGACCATAATRAGAGATACAGCAGGAGCAATAAATGCAAATCAGGTGGCAAGAATGCTTGGAAGCAGCAAAAACCGTGTACTAACACAGAATTAGAGAAGTAATCCTGCTCTCTGTGAGCTCAACCAGCCTCCAATGGTGGCACCTAATGTAGTTGTTCCCTTTTCTTTTTGTTATCACTGATTTCAAAGCCACTTCATTTGCTGTTCAGACCATGTGTGACCAGACAGAGCAAACTCAGGACTCTTCAGAGATCTCTTCATCAGATTGCTGTCCGTGTTCTACCTGACCACTGAATTTAATGAAACTTGCTGGAATGTATTATTTTTGAAACCAGCATTCCACTGGTTGACACTGTCTCGATAAAATAAATCATGTACATGCTGGGTTTTCTTTTCTCCTTTGAAATGTAATCCTGTGACTGTGTGTAAAGAAGTAATTGCATTTGAAAAAGAGAAATGGGGCTGTGTAAAGCAAAGCTTTGAGAAGCTCTCAACACAGGCAGAAAGGATTTGAATTGGAGCCTGGTGCACACAAAAGAATTGATAGTGAGGAACAGAAGACAAAGGTGAGCTGGAGAAAGAGTTGTATAGGTCATTGGAAGAGCGCTGCAGACAGAGGGATGAAMGGGTAGAATGAAAGAAAGGAAGCATATTAGAAAGATGTATGCATTTATCTATGTACATGCATTTCTATACATTTACCTACCCACACTTTGTCTTGTTTTTATATGCCCATCTGTTTCTATGTCAAAACTGCTCCCTATTGCTTCTCTTTTAGGCCCTGTTTCTCTCCCCTTGCACCCTTTTCTGATTCTAAACTTGCCATTCCAATCCTTCTCTGCATCCAGTGGAGAGCCTTTCTCCTCTTCTTACCCTTTAAACTGATCACAAGTCACATATACAGTATCTGGACAGAATCAAATTCCAGTTCTCTGGTACACAAACAATCATTTCTTTCCATGTAATCTCAGGATTATTCATTTCAAAGGGAGAGAAATAAAATATAATCAATTTTTATAAATGCTAAGATTTTAAAAATAGATGAACTGGGTGCAATAGGACTTTATTAAAATACAAAGAGATTAGAAAGGTCTCATTCCCTTCAATTATTAACAATGTACTTGTTCTGCAGAAAAGTACCCATGAAAATTTAAAACACATGAAAATGGTTGTTCACTTAAAACTGCTCAGTTAATCTGTGAGGAATGTTTTATTCAGAGGCATTAAATGAATACTGCAAGGTTTGATATGTGATAATCCATCATTCATGTGGCACAAACATGGAAATCAATAAAATATTGTATCAAGAGGAGAGGTCAACATAATATCTTTGGGGGATTTCTGCCCAGGTGGCTTGTTTTAATTCACGAGATGTCCATCATATCAATATTAACTCATAGGTTTTCATAGAAAATCAATATTAACTCATAGGTTTTACAAACTGGATGCTTTTTTTTTTTCTTTTAGGCCCAATAACCTCCACTGGATTTGAATAGCATGAATTGAACGGAGACAACTGTGCCCTAAAAGCTTCAGTTTAAACTGTCACCAAAGACTGGAGATGTGGTTATTGGCATTGCAGTTGGGAATGGCCAAATGCTCCTTGGGATGCCCTTTACAGAGTGATCCAAGAAAGAAACCTGGATCTGCATTACAGGTCACGCTGGATTTTGCTCTAAAAACAATTCTCTGCTATGCCAGGATAGGACCAAAAGGTCACCTAGGAAACATACCTCTGGACTTGGTTCTGTAACTTCTCCTCTCTCTTCTGCAGTAAAATATAGAACTCTGTCTTATGAGTTCCTTTGCAGGCTACAAGTGTTATTACCAAAACCGAGTTCCCTAGGTTAGAGTTCAATCTCCATCTTGAACAACTTTATTTTTATTGTTTTTATTGTTTGCATTAGAATAAGGTCAAAAGACAGCATCTGACAGGAAGGCCTCCTTGTGAAGCTATCAGTGCATATGGATGTCTCCTTTTGTTGGGAGAAAACACAAAAGAATGCCAAAACAGGGAAAAGAGGGGAAATGAAAGATAAAAGGAAATGTTTTGTACATGGTGCCCATTGTACCATTAAGGTTTGAGTACAAGGGGTTCTTTTAACCCAGAGTCATGATTCTTAGGGCTAGGCAAAAGGTYTTTTTATGTATTAATCTGAACAGAAGAACAAAAGACTCTTTCCTTATGATGCACAATGTAAAATTCACCACCCTCTGAAATGATGTAACCAGAAATCAGCGCAAGTCCACAAATTCAGATGGTAGAACTAGAGAGATGCATTGGTCAGGGCTATTACCTCCTTACGCTTTCCTTCCTTTCTATTTTTCTGTAATTACTCTGCTTTTGGAGGCGAGATCAATGCTCCTCAGGCATTACACGGCCACGTATCCCTCCATTCCTGGAATAATTCCTTTTCTGGTACATAGAGGCCAGACACACGGCTTCAGTGCAAAGGCTGTAGCGTTATTTGTAGGGATGAAGTACATGCTTCTGCAATTTCTCTGATCCAATTTTGAAACTGCTACCACGGCTCAACATTTCTCTGCCCTGGCATTTACAGAATATGAGCTGTCTGCTCTCCTGCAAATCTGGGCAAAGGAGCAGCATGGAGAGAGGAACAGCTAAAAGCACACAGGGCTTTTAAATGTCTGTAGCGTCAGCTTTGGTTGATTAAAGGAGTGTTCACGTTAATCTTATCTTGTGCTTAATGAACTAACACAAATTGCATCAAGCGGTAGCTCTTTTATGTAATACGCTTACCCACGACACAAATCTCTGCAGGAAAAATAAAGCAAGACAATTATGGGAGGTATCCCTTCCTCCACTTCTGTCACAGCAGAACGGGGAAGGTTAAAGACAACACAGTGTTTCAGAGCTATCATTGAACCACTTATTAGAGAGCGCTATGTTCTTTCT